AATGTCTGGAACCCCCAGGAATTTTGACTCTCTGACTTGTTTACATTGAGCCTCCAGTTATGTGTCAATTACAGTTTAGGTTTTCTTACCCCAGTCCTGTTTCCCATGGTGGGCTATTCTCATGAGTTTGTAAGTTATTATTCTCTGTATTCACCTATCATTTGCTTCAATTTTGGGTGTCAGAAGTTTTCCCTCTGACCTTAGCTTTTCTCAAGAATTTAAAGTGAGTTTTCATTTTTCAGTTTATTCAGCATTTCATTTGTTGTTAGAGTACAAAGACAACTTCCAGATTCTTACATCCCTGACTGGAAACAGAAAGTCTTGTCCAATTCTTCCCCACAGTATGTCCTTATTCAGCACTCATATATACTCATTTTATTTTTAGCTGTGTCAGAATATAGCTATAGCATAAAGTTGCTTTTTTTTACCCTAGCAATATATCGTACCAGATCATTTCTTTGACCAATATTCTCTCTAACTTATTTACAATGTAATGGCCACTACAAATTCTATCGAAATCACATATTTAAAAGATTGATAATCACAGCCTACAGTTATGATGAAACACATAGACTAAGTTAAGCAAATGACAACTATTACTTCCTTGAAGAGTCCTCTATGCAGAGTAAGCAGTGAAAATGGTTATATAATTATGGATCCTAAAGGCATCTGGTAAAATCTGTGCTAAAGATACCCAGAAGAATACTAATTATATACACACTTCCTAGATCTTTTATTATTCATCACTTTCACTTCTATGTTTTTTTTTTTTCTGACTACAAAATAAATTACCTATTTTCTAGGAAAAAAGGGATAATAAATTTGTGGGAGTGGTAGAAATGAGAGGTGGAGGGTTGGATGGAGGAGATGTTGACGCAAGAAACTATAATAATTACCTGGGAAAATGAGAATCACTTATTAGGGTAAATGATAAAACACAATGGCACATGCTGTTTGTTGCTCTGGTTGTATTACACTGATATTTAGCTGTAATGCTGTGTGACACACACATGAGGTGGGGCTTCTGTGTCGTACAGTCCTGAACATTTCACTTTATACAAATACTGGTTCTTCGTTAAGAGACCCCAGTCTAGCAGGCTGGTGGCAATTAAAGGGGAAAACTCTAGTACTTATTTCTATATCTTCCAAATAATATTATTTTGTGGGTGTTCAAGTATATCTTAAAATAGGATATGACTCTAGGATTCAAAGATAGCATTTTATGTGCCTGTTTCCACTTAGACATATGTGGCATAGTGGGGCCTATTTTTTTTTTTTTCTGATGTTCTGCTTTTTGAAAGCTTCATATTTGGTTTTATGGATTATAGTGGTGAGTCCAGTAAGAATTTCACCCTGTCATCTATGCTGAAGTCTCTAACTTGACCAATATTCATTCTTTTAGACTGGAGGATGGGGGGCAAAATGACAATATGATTATCACCAAACAAATCATCCGAAGAGTCATTTCATAATGACAGTTGTTTCTACTGTCATTTTTTACTCTTATTTTCCTGCACATGCCACTAGAGTGAGACTGACTTAGTAAACTCCAGCACCATACTAAGCTCCCTGAAAGCACATAATTAAGGTGGGTTCTTCCCCAAATGGAAGCACTGATCTTTCTGGGCACTATCAGAGATGAAATGGCCAGCAGAGGCTGAACCCAGGGCAGCTGTGAGACCACAGGGAAATGTACAGTCCCCAGTGCTGTTATGTCTCAGTAACACTCAGACCACGTCTTGCTAAATATAAACCTGTATGTACTGGATTAGCCTCAGTCACAAATGATCTCTGGACAATCATCTGTGTATTGGAATTTGAAATGTATAGAAAGCTCTCTGCTTGCAAAATGAGATTCTAATACTGTCAAGACTTGTGTGATGATAACTATTTGATCTTCCTTGAGTGCCAACTATGTGCAAGGGGGATACTCTGTTATTCCATTTTTTTTTTTCATTTAAAGCTCACAAAAAGCCTAGGAAGTAGATGCCATAATGGTAGTTATTCTAAAAGTTTAGGAAAATAAGGCATAAATTGATTCAGGAACCAAATTGACAGAGTGGGATCTAAACTCTGTTTTACCTGAAAGTTTCTGCACATGGAGTTGGGTACCAGAATCAGATCATCTGTTTAACAGCTGCGAGGTAATTTATGAATTGCAAAGTACTATTGTTACTGTATCCATACAGGATTTGGTAAGTAGGGAGCAATCAAAATTTCACTTTGGTTCTGATATGGTTTTGGAAACCATTACCATTTTTTTGGATGAAGATAATTCTTTGATGTTTCACTGGGCTACATTGGGGTGCAAACTGATAACTGATGTAGGTCCTACTTGATGGTGTTTTCTAAATGCAACCACAAGGCTTCAGTAACAGAATCACTTGGTTTTCTGGTTCTAAGCATGACCTTTTCTGAGACCAATGACTAAAAGTGTGAGCTTACTTTTTTTTGCCTTTTACTCAGTTTCATCTTCAAGAACATAAAGATTTAAGAACTATTGCTTTAGCTCTTGGTGTGTAAAATATCACATCCTTTGCTAAGAGAGTGGTAAGTAGGGGTGAGGTAAAGGTCTTGCGAAGATTGCTAGAGATTTGAAGAGTTTTCTGTAGGGAATGGTGGAAGAAATCTTCAGGGATACAAAAAGCATTGCTGAGCAGCCCTGAAATTGCAGGCCTTAAGTTCATGGTGGTAACATTCCTCATCACCATCCACAGAGGGTCCTCATGACTAGCAAGTACCTATAGAGGGACTGGGCAGAGAGTTGGTATTTTTGTGATTCAATAATTATCTATTTCTAAGTTCATTTATGTAGCAGAATTGACAAATATTTGAGACTAAAAGCCTACTATAAGGAAAAAAATTATCATATGAATAAAAGTATTCATTTGCTTGAAAAAAGAGAAAAAAGATACAATCGAGTATTGAAAGTTTAATTGGGGAGGGGAAAACAGGTGTATATGAATAGTATTTGTTATAAGTCAATATTCAGTTAAAAGGTAAATTGAGTGATAGCACATAAATTCCCAAATAAGAGACCAGGAACTAGAGTAGTTGATAATAAAGATGAAATTTGACTAGTACCTTGAAACTATGGTAAGATCTGAAATAGGAGATCATTCAAGTTGAGAGAAGATATTATCATATAAATTAAAGTGATAATTACCCTATATGTTCACTGCCATCAAGCATTATGAAGAATGAACTGACACAGGAACAAGATACCTTATTGACCCTCAGAGACATGACACTCTTAGCAGGAAGTGTAAGTGTTGTTTTTTTTAAAGATTTATTATTATTTATTTATGCATATAAGAACTGGGGTATAGGCCAGAGGTGTGGGAGATAAGAGGGTTCACCAGAGACAGAGTGGGGAGCAGGACAGGCAGATCTACTGAAATACACTGCTGAGGGGAGAGGCAGCAGAGTCAGGAGAGGTCTGCTGCACCATATGTGTTGGATCCCTGGCCAGGGTTCAAACTCAGACTATAGAGGTGATAGTGATGAGACTGAACCCCTAGGCCAGCAGGAAAGCCCTGATGTAGGTTTTTAAATAAATTATTTTGAAATAATTATAGCTTCACAGGAAGTTGCAAAATATAGTTTAGAGAAGTCAGGATGTATTCTTCATTCAGTTTTCCTCAGGGGTTACATCTTACATAACTGTACTGTAATGTCAAAATAAGGAAATTAACATCGATAGATAAAACATGCATGTATTAATAGTTCTATGCCTTTTTAGCACATGTGTAGACTTGTGTAACCATTGCATTCAAGATACAGAACTCTTCTATCACCACAAAGACCTCCCTTGTGTTACCACTTTAAGGTCAGCTCTCACCATCCCTAAGTCCTGGCAATCACTAAACTGTCCTAATCTTTATAAATATGAATTTCAAGATGTGATATAAATGCATTCGTAGTACATATGACCTTTTAAGACAGGACTTTTTCAGTCCACATAATACTATGAGTCCATGCAAATTGTTGCATGCACCAGTGATTTGTCCTCTTGCTTACTGATCAGTACCCCGTGGTGTGGATGGATGTGCCATAGTGTGTTTAACCCATTACCTATTGCAGAAATTTTCAGTTGTTCTTAGTTTGGGGTTATTAGAAATAAAGTTGCTTCGGGGCCTCCCCTGGTGGCACAGCGGTTGAGTGCTGGGCTGCGAGGCTGCCCACAGCCTCTGCAGTGCCAGTTCATTCCCCGGCCGCTGGCGAGGGTCCCACCAAAAAAAAAAAGAGAGAGAGAAATAAAGTTGCTTCATACATTTGTATACAGGTTTTTGGTGTGTGTGTGTGTGTGTGTGTGTGTGTGTGTGTGTGTGTTTAATAGTCACATTTCAGAGCTGAGAGTGGGAAGACAAATTAATCATCCAGAGGCTGAAAACATTTCCAAATCCAGACATTTTTACTTTTTCTCCTATACTGCTTCCATGATCTCATATGAAGTGAGAACAAACTGTTCTGCAAACTATAGAAAAACAATATGTAGACATTTGACAAAATATTGGTTTTAAGATAAAATATCTGTTAGAGACTTATTTTCAGCATCATGTATGCACACCGATTCACTCATTTATTCACAAAACTATCATCTGAGTGCCCAAGAGCAGGCCCTATGCTGAGTGCTAAGGCAAGGGGTCTGCCCCTCAGAGCTTTTACCAAATACCAATCTGTTGCACAAATGTCATTTGTTATGTGTTCTTTGGTTTCAACAGATGGAAATGTTTATTCCAAATTAATGTGACCACTAAAATAATATTTAAATGTATATCCCTAAATGTAAATTTGCTGAAAGATTTAGGTAATGATATTTTGCCTTATCTTTGGAAAGCCATTGCTGAGCATGCAGGCACAAACACACTTTCTAATTTTGCCAGGTATGCAATTCAGTACTTTTATCATATGGGGTAAGGTTCAGATGGATTTTTGTTTATAGCTTGCTTACAAATTAATGATTGCTTCTGCTTATTCTATGTCCCTTTTCCCAATAGCATAAAAAATTAATCAACCGTCCACAGAGTACCAAAAGAACTTCTGCAGATCCTCTAGGTAAGGAATCCTTGTTTTGTTCTCATCACACTGGTATTTTTTTTCTCATATTTTATGTATGTGAATCTTTTGTTAAAAAATAGAGTGACTTTGCAATTAAACAATCATTAGATTTCTCAGCCTAATCAATGGTTTTCCTTCAGAAATCATGTACATGGGAACCAAAACATTTTCAAATATGAATACAGTTAAAATCTACAAGATATTAAGTATTATTTCAAGCAGATAACATAATTGCTTAGTTTGCTAGATACACAGCTACACTTTTTTTTCCTGAAATGTTGACATTTAAATTGTAAATTTTAAATTATGGTCACTTTAAAATACATCTTGAAGGCAACAGACTTTCAATAGAGGTATATTTATTCATATGGAACCAGAAAGGAAACATTTACATTAAATTGTGGTTATGAATAACAATTATATAAAATGATGCTTATAACAAATTTCAGAGTAGAATTTGAAATTTTTATTTTATTTTGGTCTTGACACATTCATTTTGAGATAATAGTTTCTAAGGTGATAATTTATTGGTCTTAAAAAGATGTCAGTGAATGTTTGGTTACTGTGTGAGGTCCCTAGCTAACCCAGAGCATCCATTCACAGGTCACCTTTATGGATTTGTATAGAAAATGCACAGACTCTTGAAATACATTAAAAGTGAGGAGGGTGGGAATAAACCTTAGTGTTAGACATCCTGTCGGAGGCAATAAAACTGATTTCAAAGGGAGAGCAGGCAATTTAGAAAAAAAAGAACAAAACATAAATCCGGAAACCCCTCAAAAATTCCCTAAAACAACAGTGAGTGAAAACCCAGAAAATCTTACAATATTTACACTTGAAGAAATTTGATATTCATAAAGAGTGTGTTCACAGCAGCTGTCAACAACCACCAGAGCGGACAAAAGTAGACCCTTCCCAGTACACTAGTGTACTAGGTCATTATCCGACCTGATCACACATGATCAATGCCCTCCCCACAGCAGCTGCATCTACTGTGGTGACAGTAGATGAGGTTAGAGATTAAACTAAGCTTTAAGTGTCAAGTTAAGAAGGTTAGACAACAGGAATGATCTATAAGCGAGTTATTAACAAGGGACAGATAAGATCAGGTACATCTTTAAAGACTAAAGTGAGTTAAACTTGATTGTAGTGACACTCATTAGAATCTTCACACCTGAAATACTTCAAAGACATGAGAAGTAGATGATTGAGTCAATAGGGCTGGAAAGGAGAGATAATATCAGATATGTGTAGAGTTAGGATTAATAAGACTTAGGTCCTGGGGATAAGAAATCATCTTTCAGAAATCTGAATAATATGTCATGCTTTAGCTAACAGTAGAGTGATTGTGCATGCTAAGGAAGTGAATAGAGTAAAAGATAAAGAGAGTGAAAGAATCAAATTTAATGAAGCTGATTTTGTTTGGAGAGGTACTGAGTTTCAGCTGGCTGTGGCATATGCAGTGGTAAAATTTATTTGGAGATGAATATTGCAGGTTATATGACATAACAAAAAGTAAAAAAAAAATAGTGGCTTTGGGATATTTCACACAGAAGAGATGGTCAAGGCAATAAGGGTTAACAAATTCATTGATGGGAGAGGCAGAAATAGAAGAAGTCTGAGATAGGAAGCAGTAATACCGCAGTACTAGGAGGAAGAGGTTCTAGAAAGGGGAAAGGAATATGGGGCAAGAGTGGGCAGAGGAGAAGCAGGATTCCGGTCATGTAATCTAAGGGAAGGAAAAAAATATTTTGTGGAAGCAAGAGAAGATGCAGACCGAGAATCAATTGCTACAAATAGTGATTAGGAAGGATCCAGAAAGTTCAGATAGAAAGGTTTCAACAGAGTTAAAAGGAGCACATAAAATCCCTCAATGACAGTTTAAGGAGTGGGGTGATTGTGCAGAACCTGAGGACTCACGTTTATATTAGGTATAAACAAAGTTTACGGTAAAGTCCACTAACTTGAAACAGAAGCAGAAGCCAGAAAAGTGGAGAATTTAGAGTGCTTGTAAGAAGCGTGGAGGGAACCCATGGTAACAGGAGATTAAGGAACAGCTGTTGAGGAAATCAATTGATACGAACATTGTGGTGGATGAAATCGAGCAAGCACAGAGAAGTGAGATTTTGTAAAAAAGTGGTTTTGAGTTGAAAACAAGGTTATGAGAACTCAGGTCAAATGGCTTCAGGTAAAGTAGGGGAGAGTGGTAGATATTACCTGAGTGACACAGCATGGGGGTGAGACTGCATGAAAAGATAGGACATTTTCAGTTATTGCTGTGGAAATTTCCAAATTGAGTTCAGGAAAAAAATTCTTTATTGGACTGGTAAATTGCTAAGGGCTTAAATGATATTAACAGAACAGAATTTTGTTGATCACATTCAACATAGTTCCTTAACCCAGGCAGCCCAGTAATTAATGCAGTGTGAGCAAAGCAAGGCTGGCAAGTGACAAATTAGGAACAATGAAAATTAAAGAAGGCAACACATTTTAAGAAGGATGCAACAGCATCATTGACGTGCACGGTTGATCATTAGGAGCACTATGGACAGAGAAGTATGTGGAACGCAGCAGAGAAGACCGAATGACTTGGGGCATTACGGACATTAAGGACGGGGAGTAATAAATCCCTGTAATAGCAATGAGAACCAATGCCTAGTAGGCATGAGCAAATGCAAGCAATCATGGAAACTTAGGAAGGGATGGTTGCTGATGACACTGAGAAGCTGAGGCCATGAGCAGTGCACAATAGTTCTGGCTGATGAAGAAACGTCACAGTTTGCCATGAAAGTCAGTTTCTCATCTGGGGTCCTAGCACAGGTCACTGAAGTTGATAAGATTAAAGAGCTATGTGGTCAGAGAAGGGACTGATTATCAACAGGCTTGCTGAGGATGCTGCTGCTGAGGCAGGGAGACAGAAGATGTGGATAGGGGAAGGAAGGCCTGACCATGTAGAATGAACAGAAAAATGGACATGTTCCACGATGAAAGCAGAAAGTTGGTTTGACAGTGACCATGGAGGGCAAGCATGCGCATGCTTCAATTCTTAGTAGCTTTCACAGGCAATAACATGACTCGTAGTATAAAATCAGGTGCAGATGTATGTGAATAGGGAGGTGGATGGAAGAAATAGTTGGGAACAGGTGACGTAGAATTCTTTGCTCACTGAAGACCAGAGAAATTGGGGCACAGAATGTAGCTGTGATGCAGGCTACTACTGCTATGTGGAAGGAAAGAGTAGGGCAAACGGGATTGCCTGCGAGTGAGGGATTTGCATGACACAGTAAACAAAAGACCAAACAAAGCAGAAACATGGAATCATGAGTTGAATTTGTAGACAGGACTCACAGGTAAGGGCAGGGCATGCTGAACATAGAGGGTATAGTCAGAGGAGACACTGTGGTTCTAACTAAGTTGAAAAGGCAAAGGTAGATGTTGGAATACAGGACATTTCACAGAACTGTTCCTTGGGCTCTGGATCTTGGTGAGTGTCTCTCTCTCTCTGTGAGTGTGTGTGTGTGTGTGTGTGTGTGTGTGTGTGTGTGTGGAATAATTTATGCATCTGACTATTAATAATTAAGAGAAATATTTTCAAACCTAAAAACATCCTTTAACATAGTGATCCTCAAGATATTGTTAGGGAACCCGGCACCAGGATCATTTGGGAGCTTAGCAAAAATTTCAGATTTTGCCCCCATCCACTTGATTTAGTCAAGTGTCCAGGCCTGAGAACATGTTAATATGGCCTCCTGGGAATTACAAGACAATCTTAACCCTGTGCAGGAGATGATTGTCAGGATATAATACCAAAAATGACAAGAATTCAAGGCCTCCACTGCCCACTAGGGCAGCCTCAAATATTTGTGTAAGAGAGGTGATGATTAGCTCCCCAAGAAAGTTCCTCACCCTGAGCGTGGCTCATGTGCCCAGCAGAAGCCCTGTGGGAGAACCTGCTCTACTGGCTGGCCGAGGAGCTCTCCGAGGAAAATGCCACGTGCCTGTCCTTGTCGCTCCCCCTGCGCCGCAGCACTGTGCAGCTGATCAAGCTGAAGAGTCCTGATGACCTCACAGAGCAAATCCACGAACTGCTTTCCTTCTGGAAAAGATCACTTCCAAATTCTACTGATAAACTTCGCCTTCTGGCTCATCACCTCCGCAAGATAGGCAGGAGTGATCTCTCAGAAAAGCTCAAGTTCAAGTGGGAAAATAAAGTGTTCACTGAGCCACAGCATTGGTTGGACATGACAGAGTAACTCCAGGCTGCTCCTCTTTCTTTGGCTCTTGATATTGGGTCAGAGTAAGTTTTAAGACCTTTTCTATCAACTTTTTTTTTAATTTAAATTTTATTTTTATATTCCCCATACAATTACAACCCCCTTATTTTGACCCCAACCCCTCCTTTTCCCGCCCCCCACCCTCCCATAGAGTGTCTCTGGTTCATAGTTGTTTGTTGATTTTGATATTTTCTTTCTTATAGTTATTCTTTTTCCTGGTCCCTTATTTAAGTTTTCTAGATTCCTGCCGATAGATAGCAGGAATCTACCGACATTTTACTAGCAGTTCCCAGTCATGTTTGAATTGAATCTACTGGATAGATGTGCTATTACGACAAGAGGAGAAGCACTAATCAGACAATAAATAGCATTTTTGGATTTGCGTGTTAATTCATGGTTCCTTGATATATGTTCTGCGATTATGATTATCTTGAGTTCAGCCTGACTTAATAGCATTTGTAATAGAATTTGCCCTGTTTCCATTTGAATAGCTGAGTTTGCTTTCTAAGTGTAAAGGAAAGATATGAGAATCAGTATCACTTTTCTTTATTGCAGATCTGCATAAAATTAAACTGGTAAGCCAGGGTATCAAGAAATGAATTCACATTCTGTACATACTGTAGAATGTAACAATACAAAATAAATTGGGCTGCAGAGACCTGACTTTGATAGCAAGTCATTTTAAGAAAATAGAGAAGTTTGAAATGAACTAAAAAGGGAATAACACTTATGTCATTTACTGCCACATTTTTTAAAATTAAAATGTAGCTGCAATTGAGAAAACCTCATATTTTATTATTAGTGAAATGAGGCAACAGAGAAAAGAAATACCAGTAACAGATTTTAGGGTCTTTTTCACCTACTGAGGAAAAAACCTACTTTGAAATCAGTTTCACTGAAAACTTATAACATAAGCCTTATATGTTCATTGTTTAAAAAACTTGTAAGAACCCCCAATCTAAAAGAAAACATAATTACTGAAACCTATCTGTCATTTATAATTCTTGTTACTGTCTAGTGCAGAAGTATGGAAATGCTGGAAATCTTAAAGCCCTTCAGCTCCCTAAAACAGTGCGATATGAAATGGATGACACTGTAGTTTCAGCAATTTTTGAAGGGAAAGCCATCAAGGACTTGTCTTGACAACATCGGTAGTGATTAGGTTTGGTGACTGAATACCTGCCAATTAATGTGATCACATGAATTATTAGACATTTACATGGTTCTAAAATTTAAAGACAAGATTTCCTTTACAAATCAACCAGGAACTTGAATATCTATTTGGCTTTATATTGAAAACGGGGTTACAGTTTTAAAGCACATTCCTATTAAGAAACGTTTTACTGGCCAAACTATTTATTATTTGTACACATTTTTAGAAAGGTACATGATTTTTCATGTGCTTTTGGAATGAAGAAAGTAGATGGAAATATTCATTGTTTTTCTGATTACAAAATAAAAAGAAAATAAAACTTGTCTCATTCCAACACTAGAGATTACTTAATGAACATTTTGGCATATTTGGCATATTTTCACTATTTTCCTGCAAGGGAAGTTTTCTATTTTGATGTACAGTCATGTGTGACCTAACAGTGGTTTCAGTGAATGACAGATGCACGAATGGCAGTGGTTGTAGGTTTTGGTAATGCTCCTCCTCTTGTCACCTTACATCAAGGAGTAGTAATAACTCTATTGCTGCTCTATCCTTGTGCCTCCCCCATACCTGCTGGCGATTTTTTGATGAAGCCTCTTCTAATCATCCTAATCTAAGTGTACTGCATGTTTCTGATTGACACCTCTACACAACTTGAATGTGCACATAAACATGTATTTTTTCCATATGGGGGTTATATATATAAATATACTTTAAGATATTTCTATCTTCTATTAAATTATGAGTATTTTTCAATGTGATTAAATGTGTTTTAATAGCTGCATACTATCAATTTTAGTATTTATAATCAATTTTAGTATTACGATTAATACTATTCCATGATTGATATTAGTATTATCTATTTTTGAAAAATTAAAAATATGAATAGAGTATATATTGTTTAGCTTGTTTTATTCAAATTTATGCTCTTGGGATTCATCCATGTTGTTTAGGTGTGGCAATAGTTTATCCATCCTTATTGGTGTAAAATATTTCATGTATGCATTACTATAAATTTCATATCTACTTCACCGTCGATGGGCATTTCAGTAGATTACATTTGGAAATATCATAAATAGTATTTCAATGAGCATTCTTTACATACCTTTTAATGAACATATATATTTATTTCTTCCAACCATAAACCTGGGAGTATTATAATTGGCTACCATAATTAATTTAACCTTTCTCCTCTTGTGTATTTGGGTGACTTCCATCTTTTCATAAAATAATACTATGATTACTATATTTCTACATATTTATGTAAAACATTATTTATTAGGGTAAATTTTTAGAAATGGCATTACTTGGTAGTAATAGTTTTGAAACTCTTGATACACAGTGGCAAATTCTCATTATATATTCTAATCATCAGGTTGAATAGATTCCTAGGAATTCAGTATTTTAACACATATATGTAAAGGAAGAAACTTGAAAGAATTTCATATAACATGAAATTCTAACTGTAGGTAAGTCTAGATTATTTTCTATATAGAAAAAAAGATGTTTTAAATTCTTTATCATATTTACTAAAGAATAGAATATATTCCATTGGCACTGTCATTTTAAAATGTATTGGGAAATAATACAGCAGACATGTGGTCAGATTGCAGGATATCAGAGTGCTTAAACTTTTAAAATTTCAGTGAAAGGACATTTACATCTATTTGTCCAATGGATATATGTTGCACACAAAGTTTGGGACAGAGAATCTGTTCAAAAAAACAAACAAGAGACAGTTTCTAGGGCTCTGTTTATTTAAAAAAATAATAAATAAATGAGGTCAACATATTGTTTATTGACTATCTGCTTAATCCTTTATAAGTGTTCATTTATTTATTTCCATTAAATAAATTATGAGGTAGGTATAATGTCCCAACTCCCAATTTTGCAGGAGGAAACAAGATTAGAAAGATTAACTGTTTTGCCTGAGATTGCCAGTGAGGGATAGCCAGGGTTCAAATGTGGGCTGTTGGCTTGGGACCAACCCTAACAAGTTGCCACCAAACTAAGAAAAGGGAAGGGAATGGTTATATCCTTTTCTCCACTATCCTAAACTTTATCTATTCTTATGCCTTATGTTGCCAAACAACATATCTGTGTTAGTGTTACAAATAGTATTTTCTTGGGCATGAAGATGAGGGGAGGGACTGGAAATGGGGTAGAGTGTGATATTGACAACATCTGTTATCTATTTCCTAGCTAGATTAGGTAAATGCTCTTGTAGACAGCTCTAAGAGACTGACTGGCTAGGATAACATTGCAAATTGACCTGAGACAAATTGGTGATCCATATATATTGGGTTATTTACAACAGTTATCAGCAGTCACCAATAAGTAGTGCTATTTTCACACAACTTGGCTATTCAGGCACATTGATAGATCTTCAAAACACTGGGTGCAAAGAAAGACCATTTAGCATTAAACCTGGGGCATCATTACTGAGGTGCCTATTTTATACCACAGAGGAATAAGAACACTTCAGCCATCAGAAACAATCCACATATCTTGAATAGCATCAATTTCACTTGTATAAACTCATTACAATCATCATTTTGTTAAGTACCAAATTTCACAAATATGAAAGTGCCAGCATTTATTATTCTAACAAAACCTGTGATGTTAAACTATGCTTTTCTTGATCAAAGACTATATCTGGAATATAAATTCATCTCTAAAGTGATTATCCTTAAAAAATGTGACCTAAGTGAATACATACACAACAGCACATTGTATATTCTAAAGTATTTTAAAGTAAAATAGAAACATTTAACCACTCAGTGAGGCTGACTTGACGACATTATAATATAATTTCCAAAATAGGTAAATTTTGTGGGGAAAAGTTCTACTTTTCCAAATTAACCTAGTGTTATAGGCATTTTGTTATAGGGTGTTACAGGTATTTTTAATGGATTTTTTTTTTTTAAACAGTAAACTGAACTGGCTCATGCATTGTAATCCATTCAGTATTCCTAACTCTGCTTCCTAAATAAGCAAAATAGTTCCTCATTCTTGTGTGAGAAGCAAAATTTTTTCTACATGGTTCTAGTCCTGGGAATGGGGTTGGGGGAGCTTTGGAGTGCAGGAAGTAACTGGACTGAAGAAGAGAGAAGCGTGGACTGTAAGGGAGGGTGTAGCAAGCTGAGTTTACATGACTTTTGTGTTGAAATAGGGCATAAAAGAAAGTGAACCCAAAAACTTAATGAAAATTTAAAGAGCAAATGAAGACTCCAACCTTAAACACTCTAGCCACCACTGTTTGCAAAAAATGTCAATTGCTGTTTTGTAATTTCTCCAGAGCTACCAAGGGAGAAGTTTGTCTAAAATGGCGAGTCAGCCTCCTGAAGTTCCAAGGGTAAGTCAGAAGAAAAGGGAAATATTAAGTGCGGTCAAAATGGGGAATGACGCAGGTCCTGAGTTCCCCTAGTTTAGCCAAGCATGTCTTTTGTGATCTGCCCCTGCACCAAGGATAGGACTTTTGAGAGGGTTCACATCATTAATCCTCAAATTGCCCCTTGTTTCATGTCTTCTCCTCCCCTGGCACTTCCAATTTCCCCCCACTCTACATTTATTACCTAACAGTACTAAATCATTTACGTTTCAATTATGGTTATGATTTATTTATTTGTAAACCCACACCTTACTGCACATGATGCAAGGCCAATTATCTTTTGTTAACTGATGTGATCCTGTTACATAGCAGTCACCTGGAAGTCAATGGAGCTTTGTCTATTTTGTTACACTGCCTTTGCTAATGAGACACTGCAACTCAAAGTTACAGTAATACCAGCAGTGGTAGAACCTGGATCAGAACCTAGATGATTCTGTTTTTAGAGCCCTTTTTCCTCTACTTCTAACTTTATGCCCTTAGTTCTGCTCTGGGCCTCCCAATAACCTCAGATGATGTTTTTCCA